CACGTCTTTGACTTGATTTGACTGGCCCGCCGGCAAGCTTGTTCGGACGACCCCGGATTACGAAACGGACAACACCGACGCGTTCAGAACGTCAACTTTAGCTAGGAAGGACACCCATATTGCTAAGGTTACACGCACACACAAATGACACGACGCACACACAAATGACAACACACAAATGACACGGAAATCGATGCACATTCTTTTAGCGGGACGCGGGCCCGTGCTCAACCCAGGTTCGACGGGCTTAATTCGGGCTAGGCACCAGCTCATAGATTTTGAATTTTAAATTTTAAAATTCAGGCGGGTTATTTAAAACTAGTATTGATTGAAAATATTTGAATGTTATTATTTTCCAATTAAACCGTTTGTAGGAAAGGAAACCATTAATTTCCCCGCCAATGTTGTCCCGTAATGGCTCTTTCTCTAGCAGGCCTATTTTTTTCTCGCTCACGAGAGCCGCGGCTGACTGCCTTTGATTCAAACGAAATCCTCCGCTCCTCCGCTCGTTTTCCCCCCGCCTGGCTTGCTTCTCCATCTCCCGCTCGATCCCGTCTCCCGTATCTTCCCCGGAGAGGACCCCCGATTGGATATCTCCCGCACTCGCTCCCTTCTCGATCCCGATCCCTCGCTCTCTCTGCTCGATCCCGTCCCCCGCACCGAAGAAGCCCCCGTTTCCTTCTTCGTCTCGCATCTTCCCCACGCTGAAAACCCTCGCCTCCCGCTCTATGCTTGCCTCCTCTCTGCGACAAAGAAACCCCTCCCGCTCGCCTTCTCCTCTCGCGTTCGACTGAGGATCTCTGTTCGGCTTTTTTCCGCTCGAGTTCACTTCTCTGCACCGAAGCCCTAGCCTTAGTGTGGAGCATTCGCTGGTAGTTGTTTCTCGAAACTTTGATTTGAGGAAGAGGATTTCGTTGGAAGGCATTTTTTTGTTGGATCTGCCTTACTTTGTTTTGCTTTAAATCTGCATAAAGAAAGAGGTATTTTTCTCCTCTCCTCTGTTTTGTATTACTTCTGATGACATGAAATATGAAAGTTTATTTTGAAGTTTAAGCATGAATATTTGCTTAGGTTGGTGGGAAATGAAGCATATATATATGGGTCACCTCTACTTTTCTTTACTTGAAGCACTTGAAAGCATGACTAGGGTGGTCTTGAAATGCATTTTACTCTTTTAAAAATACATTTGGAAAAACATATTTGGGGTTTATGTTTTGTCTCTCTTGCTGCCCCTCATTAGAATATTTGCTGGAAATGATTTGTATGTGCTGAAAGATACATTTGGGCTTATGTTTTATTTCCTCTTGCTGCCCCTCATCAGAATATTTGTTGGAAATGATTTTTTTATGTGCTGAAAGATATAGTTGGGCTTATGTTTTATTTCCTCTTGCTGCCTATTGCTAGAATACTTGCTGGAAGTTGTTTTATGAATTGAAAAAAGGGGTTTGGGGGCTCATTTCATGTTTCTCTTGCTGCCCCTTTTTTCGAATTCATGTTAGGAGAAATGATCAAAGCCTTTATTATTGTTATTCATGCTTAGAACAAATGTTGGAAATTTTCTCTGTTTTGCCGCTGCCTTGGTTTCGGTTTTGGTTATGCTGGATTAAATGTTAGCTAGAAAATTTTCTTTGTTTTAGCACATTTTTGGAGGGCTCGGTCTTGGCTTCATAATAGCTGAAAATGACATTTCATTTAGCTCACTTGTTGGGTTTGGCTTTAACTCTTTTTGAGATGGATCCTTGCAAGAGATGTTGGCATTTGTTTTGATCATTTGTTGCGCTCGGTTTACCCATGTGTTGGGCTCACTTTGGGCTTCTTTGAATCAAATTATAAATGGATCTTTTGGGTCCTGTTTTTTTTTATGGTTGGGCTCAGTTTGGCTCCTTTTGATATCATGTCTTGGCTGAAATTTTTGTTGTTTTAGCCCTTTGATGGGCCCGGTTTTGTTCCTATGCTGGAAATTATTTTATAAATTGGAAAAAATATGTTTGGGGGCCGGATTTGGACAATTTTATTTATTGTTTTGGGTTTCATTTGATTATCATTTCAACGCGTTTAGGCCGGTTTACTTATTGTTTTTCCCCCTTTTCGACTTTGCTAGTTTTGAAAGTGGGTCGACCTCCTTTTATTTTGTTTATTTTTAAATGGTTAAGTCCTAAAGAT